TTTATCTAATTCTCCCCAAATACATGAACAAAGTAAATTTTCATCGTCAAATTTTAGTATATGTTTCATAATATTCATATAAATACTTATATATTTTGATTTTTATTCTTTTTATGTTTATATTCGTAATATATATATATATATATATATATATATATATATATATATATATATATATATATATATATATATATATTAACAACAGGTTACTATATACGAATAGCGAATTACTGTTCGCAACAAGAATTTGGGGTTGCAAACAGTAGCACCTTGTTGTTGTTCGCAGTCTCAAATTGCTATTGTAAATAATAGTTCCTTGCGTGATGCCTAGTAATATATCAAGTATAATTTTTTTTTATATATATTATTAATATTAGATTTTATTTTTTTATTTTATGCAACTTGTAATTATATTTTTAAATATTTTATTTGATCACTTCTTTTATTATAAATTTTATTGTTCAATATTGTTATGAATTTCTAATGTAATAGTTTTTTTTTTTTTTGTTGATGTTTATTAATAATATATATAAGTAATTAGTATATAAGCCTCAGCATACTATGTATAAAAATAATAATGTTGAGAATGTTGATGTGGATGAAGAACTATATAATCAGAAGAATTTATGATATATTATAAATGTTTTGTAAGAAAATTATAAATGATATGATAAGAATCAAAATCATTCAAAGTTTGTAAGGACGTATTCAATTTAGAATTTCAATGACTTTTATAGACTTTTTAAAATGAAAAGTTAATAAAAGTATATGAATGTTTTCTATATAGACTTTTATAGAGTTTTATAAAGTTTTAAAAAATTTTGAATGACTCTATGAAAGTCAATCAAAGTTTATTAAAATCTATCATTTTAAAAGTCTTTAAAACTCTACAAAAGTCATGATTGTATATACCCCTTATATGCTATAGACCAGGCTCTTACTGGCAAATTAATAAATTATACCAACTTAGATCTTGTAATGCAAAACTCTCATTTTTTATTATTTAATTAAAATTACACCTAAGACTACCTCACATATGCTAATAATATTAATTATGGATGAGTTCATAATTATAAATTTTGGTTATAATTTATGGTGGGAGAAGACGATGCACCTCCCAAGAACGCGTGGCTCTAATCGGCGTCACCGAGATTTTAGGCAACAGCCTCGCCGAGTTCCTCCCTCTCGCACACCGGCCACCGTCACGGTACACTGGCCACCCCTACCGCTACCGCCCACCAGACCTGATGAATGGACAAAGCACCAACCAGGGTGCAAATTCTCTCTTTCTCACAGTAAGTTTTTCAGCCTCTTTTAACTATTACTTGGTGACATTATTTCATTCGTTTTTCATCTTTTTTGACGTATTCCGTTCCAGATTTGTCTAAACCCTTTAATTTTTCAGTCGTTTTTCCCCAATTTGAGAATGCATGCACGGGTTATCAGATAATTGAATCCTTTTTCTCAATTTGAGAAACACAAGTCTGATTTCTCAAACTGAGAAATTCGAAACTGGATTTCTCAGTATGAGAAAACCAAGTCCGGAGTTCTAAATTATATAGATAATAAAGAAAATAATGAGTGAAATATAATGAGATTTAATTTTGGCTCTAACTTTGATCCGTGGTCTTTTGCTTCTTCCTACCCTTTACAATTGTTGATTCTATGAGTTTCCTCATTATGTTGTTTGTGTGAATTGTGAAAAACTGATGCTCACAAGAAAAAAGAAATATCATAGTTAATTTATAGTTAAGTAATAGGATTTTTAATATTGTCCTATCCTATTAGGAATAAAAATTTGAATCTATAATTGTAGTACGAATAGAATAGGAATAATATTGTTTAATTGGAATAGTGACGAATAATGTTTTTATTGTTAAGGAAATATTTAGAATAGGGAATAGAGAATAGAGACATGAGGGGGAAAGGATGATAGTCTCTTCATTTATCATCTTCATCTACAACAAGCTAAGTATAGAGAATATATACATAATACAAACGTTTTAAATCGATGCAATAAATGTATAACAGTTACATACATTACAATAATAATGTCCATAATCATAATGAATTATAACACTCCCCCGTTGACATTATTTGACCACGATTTCGTTTCGTCAAAAACTTGTTAGGAAAACCCGGTGGGAAAAACCTAAACAAGAAAAGAGTACAATAGAAAATATATTCATGCCTCATTAAAAACTTCACTAGGAAAACCACGTGGGAAAAAACCTAGTTGAAGAAAAGAGTACATGATATATGTAAAAACATATATTGTATTGGTCGCCTCATTAAAAACCTTAACTTAAGAAAACCCTGTGGGGAAAACTTAGTTAAGGGAAAAAGAGTACAACCATAAGCCTTCAGGGCGCAAACTGCACAATCTTCAGGATTTTGGGGTTTGTCCATTTAAGCAATTATTTTACAACTTTTCCCCATTGTCATTACTATATCATACTCATGCCTCGTTAAAAACCACACTAGAAAACCCAATGGGAGAAAACTAGTGAGGAAAAGAGTACATGATATTTATGTATTTATGTGTTGCAAATAGTGCGCAACTGTTAGTCTTTTATGACTTAATCTTCAGGATTTTACGTTCAATCTTCCAGATTGATTCAAGTAAATGTACTTCCCGTTGTGTTGCAAATAGTGCGCAACTGTTAGTCTTTTATAACTTAATCTTCAGGATTTTACGTTCAATCTTCCGGATTGATTCGAGTAAATGTACTTCCAGTCTCCCCCTGAAGATAACAATCTTCAAGTTTTACATATATTTCAAAATTTGAAGAGATGGATTAGACAAATCTTCTGGATTGTCACTAGAGTAGTGTACAATAATCTTATGGCTCTTCTAGAGCTCATATAACATTTGTGCAACACAAGTGTTATTGTCCTCATTTTGAACATTTAGAGAAATTCATTGTATAACCAGTTTGGACTTGGCATTGCGGGGATCAAACAAAACAGCCAGTACCCAAGTAGCCTATTAAAACCGTATCATGGTTTCTTACATAAATGTCATGTCTTTGTATCTCGAAGATACCGGAGGATATATTAATCATTATTCAAGTACTTCATTTGTAGGGGGAGCACTAAATTTTGCTAGCAATTTCATCGCAAATATGTTGCGCTTATGGAACTTCTGGTTCTATAATGGTGCTCCAACGATAATGAAGTAAGGGACTTCGAGTCCAAAAAGGTTCCTTATCTGCTTCAAGAGATTATTAGGCAACCTTTAGTTTGATAAAAACATGACACTTATATGCATATAGACATGTGAAAAAGCATTTTTAGATATGTGCAGGAGTTTGTGCTTAAGGTGCTTGGGTTTTGTGCTTAATGTGCGTGAGATTTGTGCTTAAAATGCGTGGGTTTTGTGCTTAATGTGCTTTATTTTGTGCTTATTGTGCGTAGTTTATGTACTTAAGGTGAGTTATTTGTGTTCTTAAGGTTCTTTGTTTGTGTGTTGAAGGTGCGTGCTGATTTGTGTACTTAAGGTGCGCCATTTTAATGCTTAACGTGCGTCCAACCGCACGAGAAACCATTCTTGCAAGAACCCTTTCCATATTAAAAAAACTTGTAAGTTGGAGTAAAAAATTGGAGTAAGAGTTGAGAGTACAAATTGTATTTTCTTTTCAGAGACCTTGGTAAAAAAAAATTATTTTTTAAAATAATTGTTTGTTTGCAACATTCAGTAGCACTGATTGAGCTAGCGAACTCCAATTTAAGTAAGACCAGGCCAGCTGTAAACAAAGGAAACAAAAGATTCGTGGTTGATACCAGTTGACAGCAATTGGCCAGTTTCCTACAGTTGACCGAAAGAGCTCGACCGATTGATCCATAAGAGTAAGAGCGGTAAGTTTTTATATTGACAAGGGGGGAAGCGGTATCGAACAAGAAGAGCTGGAAGGGAAGTCGGACGGTAGGACTGTATTGCTCAAGAGCAGGATCTTTCTTTACAGGAAAGAAGACGGGGATAAGCGCCCTATCCACCAACCAGTAACTGCAAAGAAAATAGAAATAACTGCAAAGAAAATAGAAATAGCGAGATGATCCATCATAACGAGAATTTCCATTTGCATTACCAGAAGAAAGAAAGATGCGCTAAATAGATTTTGGGGATAAAAACTAGGAAACTAGTATGTGTGGCCACCCACCACCCCACTAAGGTTCGAATTCATGACCTCATATATGAAAATGTCACTTCATGCCACTAAACCACAAGATCATTAACAAATCTTTTTTTTTTAAATAATTTAATATTTATTATATTATATGAATTTATTTTATGATTAATAATTATTATATGATTAATGAATTGTTTTTGGTGAAGGTGTGTATTCTTATATGTTTTTTAACATATTAACCACTAATTATAAACATATAATTTTACTACAAATTGTTTCTACAGAGCCAATTGTTTGAGATGGCGAGAGGGGCAGCAACAACTCCTCTTCAACTCATATTCAAATTGGCTATGGAACGGCCACCCATCTGAATAGGAATTATATGATTCTTAATTCTTTTGTAAAATGTGTCGGTATTGTTTAATTTATGATTTGAATTCAAATAATTATATTGTTAACAAGTTTTGGTTAGTATAGCTTTATTCTTTCAAAAATATAACTTATTACAAATCAAGATCCTATCCTAATTAATATATATAGCACGTCATGGGCTTTGGTAGCATTATTATAAGATTAGGAAAGCATATATATTTCAAAGGAAAATTATATTACAAAATTGTAAGGAATAATATGTTAAAAAGAAGCTAAGGTAGGAATGGAATTGATACAGATGAGACGATTTTGATTTGATCCTGCTGGCTTGAGGCAATAGACCGGATGAGGCTCAAACTATAAAAAGAAAAAATCATACAACACGTTCAATCTTTCTATCTCTCATATTATAACAAACTCAACCTTCATTTCTTCCCAATATCAAATCTTCATTGAGAAATTAACTGAGTATATATTCTTCAATTTAGACTTGAGAACCAAACCATTAATCTTGATAAACTTTTGCTACGGCCGCAACAGCAATGGAAATCTTATTGCTCCGATCAATTATTATTAAATATATCAAATACAAGGTTATTAGAAACAATGAGCCAAAAATTATTATTACATAAATACTATCATGTTCAGTCAAGACAGTGATAAATAGACCGCAAAAGATGCCAAAAAGAGAATAGGAAAAAGTCCATAAAGTCGGGCTTCAACAATAGTTAAATTGGTTGCATTGTCAATATTCCACCTACCCATCAAAAACTGCAATATATATATGGTACGTTATCATGTGAACGGCCGCCCAGGTGAGAAATGAGAACCATTCAACGTCGTCCAGATGTCCAGATAAACGAATCAGATGTAATTTTACTAATATTACCAAAAAAAAATTAAAAATATTAACAAATGAACTTACATTAAAATAAAAACCAACCTTACATATGTAGTCTACTTTACAATTTGAACCCTGATCCACAATATAATCATTGCACAAAAACATCTTGTAGATTTTTATGTTGGCCTTGAAAAAATAGTTTGTTAGTCCGTTGGTTTCCAATGCACACCAAATATTATGTCGGTCATGGGAAATAGGACAAATTATTGTATGGACCATGGTCCACACAATGTTATATGGAGCATAACAAAAAATATATTTTTAATATACTGAATGTACATTATTTTTGTACTGAATGTACATTATATAATATAATGTACATTCAGTACAAAAATAATGTACATCCCTTGAATACAATGTACATTATTTTTGTACTGAATGTACATTATTTTACAATATACAAAATATGTCCACATAAATTGTGTGGACCAAATGATGGGGGAAATAGATAATAGTTATGTCAAGGACCCGAGTCCACCTTGAAAGGTGGACTTTGGTCAAAATACACAATTTATATATTGCATGAGTTTTTTGGTATTTTTGGTTCCACGAGTCCGCGACTAAGGAGGCACTATTAGAATTGATTCGCGACTTTCAAACTTTGCAATTTCGATCCACGACTATTGTTTTTGCTACAAAAACGGTGCTTTCGACCAATTTTTCGTCAATTTCTTACCATAGAATTTTTTTTTTTTTTCATTTAAAGTAGGGATAGAATAGACATTTACATTGGTCTTGCAATCTCAAACCGCTATTGACCTCTTATTCTAACCGAAGTGTGAAAAAATCAAACAAAAAAAATCCAATTGTCAAAGACGAACCCTAATATGCTCTCATCTCATCAACCCAATTGATTTTTTCGAACTTTGGTTAGAATAAGAGGTCAACAACCGTCTGAGAGTGCAAGGCCAATGTAAGTGTGTTATTCTATCACTGCTTGAAATGAGAAATTTTTTCTCTGGTGAGGAAGACGTAAAATTGGCTTGAAGGATCATTTTTGCAACAAAAATAATAGTCGTGGACCAAAATTGTAAAGTTTAAAAGTCAATAACAACAACTGCTTTACATATAAAATCGACATGTTTCATAATTTTTAATTTTTAATAAAGAGATACGACTCTTTTTTTATTTTTTATTTTTTCTAAAGAGTGGCGTGGTATATAATTTTGAAAAAAAATAAAAACAAAAAGATAAAATATAATTTCTATTAACCAATGGATTTACTTTCAAAGTCTGTGAAGTTGATTTGTTGTCAAGCTCATGCATCTGTTCCAGGATTTTAAGTTTTAAGCATTATTTCTCTAATGCAAAACCCAACCATAACCATAGAATGAAGAAATCAGTGAGGCCATTTATTTGCCACCTATAGCTAGTACTTGTTTAAGAGATGCACATACTCAATTACTAAAACTGTAGATAACCAACCAAGTAACTAAAAATTATATCATTGTAACAAGGTGACTAACACACATACAAAACCTTTGATTTTAGACATGTACTCGTGAATGGCAGTGAACACCGTACCAACCTCATTTTAATTTGCACTTGAAATAAATTAAACCATTCTTACTTGACTAATGTTTATCTATTATATTTTCAGGTTTTAAGTGTACTATAACCAAATAAAGAAAACTGCAGAAACACACACATCCAAGCATTAGACCAATTTCATGGAGATGAGAAGATTGAGGAAATCCAAATGCCTTTCATTAATAAACATAAACCTAAGCAACATAAAGTTTTACACAGATTAGACCCCATACCCCATAGAACCTAAAAAGATTGATCAAAGAAAACATAGGCTAATTACCCTTTAAATGATAATCCATCAAAACATTACAACGCACAAAAATAGGTCAGGTAACAAAAATAGGCCAGGGTAACAAAAATAGGGGCATTTCATAAAAGGATTTAGCAACAGCGGCCAAAACCACGTCCATCCCGAGAAACTACCGAAACGTGAGCACGGCGTCTAGCAGAAATGTCAGGGTTGAGAGGCAGATCCTCCCGAACAGTAGCACCCGCCGGAGCCGCAGAGTGTCTAGCAGAACCGTTGGGGTTGAGAGGCAAGACAACATCCTGAGGTGGAGGCGGAGGGGGAGGTGGAGGCGGAGGAGGCGGAGGTGGAGGAGGCGGAGGAGGCGGAGGCGGAGGGTCGTTCTGGTTGGAGTCATCAGCTTCAGCATTTTGAGTTACCATTCTTAATAACTCCTGCAATCCAGACAAGAAACAAGCAGCAGAAATTCCTAAGCAAAAGCTTGGAATATGAAACTTGATATTGGTTTCGCCAAATACAGCAAAACCGAAGCCTAAGACACTATTAGCCATGGACATGAGTTCCACCAGGGGAAGGCTGCAACATTCTCTCATGAGTGGGATTTTTAAAGTTGTGGTGGTGATGTAAAGTGCAAGAAAAGTAATGAAAATATTCAAAAATCACACCACAAATGTTGTAGGAATGTTTGGGGTTTGCTGACATTATAATGTCAACAACCATAGAAATTCCATTCAGAAAGCACTGAGAAGCTTTTAACCAAGTGGCTTTCATGTTGGTTATGTGTGTGATAATGTGATCTGAGAAAGAAAGAGTTGGTTATATATATAGTAACATGGAAGCAGTTGGATGGGGATACTGGCCTTAGCTTGAGTGTGAGGTGTGAGGAATATGCATGGTAGGTTCTAGATAGTAGTACTACTCCACTCCAAATTCATTTTTAATATCTTTAATTTGCAATATAATGCTTCTTCAATTCACAGACTGCAAAAGGGATTTTCTGCAAAAGGTAGTTGTATTGTGTATAGTATGTAGCTAGAAGTAGGTGTGCAAAAGGGATTTTCAACTTTCAATTTTATTCCATATTCATCTTCTTTCTTCACCCATCCAAATTCATATTCATATTCATATAATATAATGCATGCTTCGGCTTTAATTTTTGATGTATTTACCACTGCAAATAATTATATATTATTGTTTAAAATGATTTATAATGTGTGAATGAGAAAAATAGCATTGATGAAAATCTCCCAAGGACAAATAAACAACTGCAGTTGTCTGCTATGTTATCGGCAATATAAAAAAGCCTGCTGCAATCCCTTTCTAAAACAAGTGTTAATTTTTTACTTTTACTTTTTGCATGCAATCCAAATCAGAGCCAAAATTCCCATTTTAGTGCTATATTATATTATTTGTCTGATTTCATTTTTTTCGATTTCTCTCCCAACTTATGCATTTCATCACTTCTCCAAGGTTATGTTGTTACATGCACATACACTATATATGATAAATAAATTCTTTAATACAAGAAAGTTTGCATCTCCATATATTTTGACGTATTTCTTAATATTAACATTAACATTAAATTATGTTTTGGAAATCGCCAAAAATTATAATTGTAGCGTTTCACTTCAGTATGTAATTCCACTAGTGTCCCTAAATCCTAGTGTGGAGAAGAAAAGCCGTGCATAATTCGCACAGCTAGCTTCTAATGACGAGCATGGCCTCATGCTCCTACGGCTGTTACGTTAACGAACAGAGCTTTTGGTAAACTACTCGTGTTCGTGTTCGTGTTCGTGTTCGATAATTAAGGTAAACCAATATTAACAAAAAAAAATTAGCTCGGTTTATAAACGAACACAAACAAAAACACTCTAAAACCCTTAAAAACCAACACGAACAACCTCCGTTTGTTTATGTTCAGTTCGTTAACAGCCCTATGCTCTATTGCCCAAGGTTTTTTCATTTTTTTTATTTAAAAAATTATAATTATATTATATTATATTAATAAATTTATAATATTAATAAAAATTAATATTACTCATTGTCATGTTTCCCTCTGATCTTCTGCTGTGTATGTTCTATATTACACATTGATATGTTTCCGAAAATTTACCTTGCATTGCCCTTTCTCACCAATGTTATTTACATGGGAAGGGAGGTCTGCATTGTAAATCTCAATAAAAACTAATATTACATTCTTTAAAAAAAAAAATAATACATGAACCTACATTATATTAAAAACCAACCTCACCTTACATATGTAGTCTACTTTATAATTTGAACCCTAATCCACATTATAATGATTCAATCATTATTCAAGACCATGGTCCACCCAAGTTATGTGAATCATATTTTGCATATTGTAAAATAATGTACATTCAATACAAAAATAATATACATTCAGTACAAAAATAATATACATTGTACTCATAGTTGACGTGATTGTCATCCTATTAAAAGTTTATTATTTTTAAAATTTATTTTAATAATTTTAAATAAAATAAATTTTTTAAAAAAATTGCCCTCCTCTTCTTCCGACCACCGGGTGGTTGAATATTTAGAAAGAAGTTTGTGGGTCATGTGACCAACTTTGATGTTGCGGCTTATCCGCCAACATTTGACGGATTTTACCAACTTCAACATTTTGATCAAGTAAAAATATTAAAAATAATTAACAGTTTGAAATAGTTTATTGCTTCAAATCGTTAAAATTTGAAATTGCAGCATTTCGGTTCAGTAGTTGAAAATATTATTTTGTACATAATTTCACTAATGCCCCAAACTCCTAACGTGGAGACGAAAAGTGGTGCATAATTCGCACAGTTTCTAATTTGGAGCATGGCCTCATGCATAATAAGGTTTTTAAAAATGATTTATAATTATCATATAAAATTAATAATGAGTGAATGAGAAAAATAACGTTGGGATGACTTTTAAGTGAGTTTTGTACCACATTATATTGAATAAACTTGAAGATTTGGACGTGTATATATATATATATATATATATATATATATATATATATATATATATATATATATATATATATATATAGGTTTAGGATCAAGTGCACACACATGCCACTTCCCATGCGAAAATGCGGTTGGGGCACTTGAATGCTCAAAACCATGCATTTGAAGGTCAAAAAGACAAAAATGTACAATTGAAGGCAAAAAAAAAAAAAAATGCATTTGAAGGCAAAAAGATGTGCAATTGATGCAATTTATGGTGCAAAAAAGGGAGGTTATTCAACTTAAGTGTTATTAAACTAATTACCCATACAAATCGTTTGTAAATCTCATTAGAAATTAAGTAATAGAGTTTATTACCGAAATAGTCCCTCGACTATTATGAAATTACTAATTTGGTCCTCGACAATTTTTCTTGCCCAATTAAGTCCTCAACTTTGAAAATGTTAACCGCTTTTTTCCTTCGTTAAGTCAGGTGTTAGAAGTCTGTTAACGGCGGTTTTGACGAGCTCGTCGGCGTATGATCCGGCGACGCGAATGACAGAGACGAAGCGAGATTTCCATTCAGCGGAACGGAGGAACTCCGGCTAGCATTATGTACGGAATTTTAGGTTTGGGTTTAAGGTGTTGAAGAAGTTTGGAGAATTTAGTTTATTGGTAATGAAATCTTCGGTCCATGGAGGAGGGGGTTTGGCACAAAGATGTTTGGAGAACAGCTGAAGGACGCCGGTGAAGAATTGGAGAATCTCATGTGAAATTCCATCAATGCCTTGTAATTTAACAAAACTTTAACGTCTAACATAACGAAGGACTAAAATGGTTAACATTTTCAAAGTCGAGGACTTAATTGGGTAAGAAAAGTTGTCGATGATCAAATTGGTAATATCGCATTAGTCGAAGGACCATTTCGGTAATAAACTCTTAAGTAATATGTTATTGAAAAAATGCACAACATATAACAAATAGTGCTAAGAAGTTGTGCACTTGAAGGCAAAGAAACATGCACTTGGAAGGCAAAAAATCTGCACAAGGAAAAAAGGAAAATGTGCACTTGAAGAAGGACAAATGTGCACTCGGAAGCAAAATACAATCTGACTTATTTTCTCAAAATTACATGAATGTAATTGCGCGTTTTTTAATTAAAACTCAATTTGGGCTGTTGATTTAGATTGCATCTATGGCTGGGAACCATCTGCATTTTTTAGCTAATGGTGCTTTTTTATTTGATCATTTATATATATATATATATATATATATATATATATATATATATATATATATATATATATATATATAGGTTCAGGTGCGGTTGTGCGGTTACAACAGAGCCATTGATTCTACTTAAATCAACATTTAGATTACCATAATTAAATTAAAAAAACGCGGTGGCATTTTGATAATTTTTTGCATTTAGGTAATTTTAAGGTGTTTGTGTTTAGACTTAATGTCCGTGAGGGTTGTGCATAAGTTGCGTGAGGTTAGTGATTAATGTTAGTAGTTGTTGAAACTTAAGGTGCGTGAGGTTTGTGTTTAAGGTGCGTGGTGTTTGTGCTTAATGTGCATGGGATTTGTGCTTAAGGTGCGTGGGGTTATTGATTAATGTCAGTAGTTGTTGAAACTTAAGGTGTGTGAGTTAATACTTAAATTGCGTTAGTTTAATGCTTAATGTGCGTGAGGCTTGTGCTTAATGTGCGTGGGTTTTATGCTTAATGTGCGTGCGTTTGTGCTTAATGTGAGCCATTTTAAAATCTCAAGTGTATGGGTTTTGTGTTTAATGTGCTTTGTTCTGTGTGCTTAAAGTGCGTGGTTTACAAATTGCACTTTTGGTCCTATGACTATTAGGGTGTTAAGAATTTGAGTACGTGACTTTCAAAACTCTCAATTTAGTCCTTTAATTATGCAATTATTAACAGATTTGGTCCTGTCGGCTAAATTGTCGGCCAATCTGGACCAGAAAAACGTAATTGGGTTCAAAAAAAAAAATTTTGTTGAGGGTAAAACAGTCATTGCAAGGGAAAATAAAAGGCTACACCGTCGCCATCTTAGCCGGCGACTTAGGTATACAATATAATTAATCACTCCGATCAATTGAAGTTAAAATCCCCGCCTCCTTGCTTTAAATAAGCATGCTTGATTTGATTTTGCGAATTGAATTGAATTGAAGATGATATAAGTGGTGCAGGTACATTGTTGAGGTTTGCGGAGGAGATAGCCTGGGAAGAAAAGGCGCAGGTTTTCGCAATCCGAATCGACTGCTCGGACTCGCAGAGCATACGAGAAGCATTCGAAGGCGTTCTGTCCTTTGGATTCGTGGAAGTTCTGGTGTAATGCGTACCACCAGCTCTCCTAGCTCGCCACCAACTTCACCGATATTCGGATCCAAAGCTTCAAGAAATCCTTCGTCGTCTCTTCCGTCGGCGCCTTCCTTTGCGCTCAACAGGTTACGTTAATTTTTATTTTAAACTTCCATACATAACAACAAATTAATGATAATATTAATAAATGTTTGTTGCATGAGCCGGGAATTGAATTGACATTCCAGTGGTGCCGGGCATGGTGGAAAGAGGGGACGGACGATTCTCAGAATGCTACGATCAGAGGCCGGAGGAATTTTTTCCCTTTTTATTTTCCCTTGCAATGACCGTTTTACCCTCGCCAAAAAAAAAATTCGAACCTAATTATGTTTTTCGACCAAAATTAACTGGCAATTTAGCCGGCAGGACCAAATCTGTTAACAATTACATAGTTAAAGGTCTAAATTGAGAATTTTGAAAGTCACGTACTCAAATTATCAACACCCTAATAGTTACAGGACCAAAAGTGCAATTTGTTCTGGTTTATATGTACTTATGTGAGTGATTTGTGTTCATAAGGTCCTTTGTTTGTTTGCTTAAGGTGAGTGGTGATTTGGATACTCTTTTTTTGAAAACAACGACTTAAGGGACGCTATGTTAATGTTTAATTAAGGTGCGTCCAACCGCACAACCGCACGGGAAGCATCACCCGCACCTGAACCCTTCCATATATATATATATATATATATATATATATATATATATATATATATATGTGTGTGTGTGTGTGTGTGTGTTTTTAAAATCCTCTAATCCCATAGCCTAACTTACTATTAAAACTGATCTAAAAAGTAACAACACATCAATATCAGAATAGCATTAATGATCAAACAATGTTTCAAATTTGAGGTAAATATACTTTGATTAAAATCTCAAGGACCTACATAAAAAAATATCTCCCTAGTACAAATACAGAACTGCCGCTGTCTGCTATATTATCGACCATATAGAAAGGCTGCTGCAATCCCTTTCTAAAACAAGTTTTAATTTATTACTTTTTGCATGCAATCCAAATCAGAGCCAAAAGTTTCAAATTCCCATTTTAGTGCTATATTATTTGTCTGATATGCTTATTTACGTAGCTTATATTTGATTTGATCACTTCTCCAAGGTTATGTTGTTACATGCACATGCACAGATGCACTATGATAAATTCGTTAATAGAAGAAAGTGTTTTTTAGTTGCAGCTGTAAACACATCAAAATTTGAAGTATCATAAACCAACAGGGCAGCTCAAATAGCAAATGAACTCTCTTTGTGGGGTAGAATTCTGGGATAGCCCTGGTTCGATTTCCACAAGTGATGATTCCCTTTGGGCCAGCTTCTGCGCCTCTCAGAGCGAACTAGGTGGACCTGAACCGTTAAACGGACAGAGAAAGACCCGGACCACAATGTGTGGTTTACACCAAAAAAAAATAAAATTTGAAGCATTATATTATTAGCATTAACTAGTATTTTCACCCGTGCGATGCACGGAATGGAATTGTTGTAATATATTAAGAATATTTAAATCGATATATAATTATTTAAGAGTTAATTTCACCAGAGGTCGTTTATCTTTCCTGACAATTCCAAATTTAATCATAGACTATAGTTATTAATTATTACGATTTATTCTATGTTACAACTCTTACGTTAATATTCTTACTATTATTATTAACACTTAATTACTTTTAGATATTATTATTACCACTTATATTATTATTATATTATTATTATTATTAGTTTCTTTTCAAGTACTGTTAGTATATAATGGTCGTGAGGCACAATAATAATATAACCATAATTAAATATTCTTGTATTGTATTCCGGAGTTAATGCCATTTTTGGTCCTAGACTTATTGAAGCATTGACACTTTTCATCCTCCATAATAAAAATTGCCACTTAGTAGACACTGTTATTGGTCGTTGGACAGTTTTGATCCTCCGTCAATGAAGTCGTTTGTTGACCGTGAATTAGATGGGCTTTTCTGTCTTTTTATGTCTTATTCTTCTAATCTTGTTTAGACCAGCGCTGCTGTGACTCCTGTGAGGCGAGATGGCGAGACTTGGCGGCTAAGTAGTAACCGTCGGTAGTGAGTAGCAGCGAGGTTCTTCTCCGGCGAGTTGTGGGTACGGCGGCGAGCATACGAGGCAGTAACTCCTTCCGGCGACGGACCAGTAAGGCAGATCTGGCGGTGCAGCAACAGATCCGGCGAGGTTGGGGCCTTCACCGGTGGTTTTTGGTTCCAGCGAAGCAGAGAGGACAGCAGGTCGGCGAACCCTCCTATGGTAAATAAGTTGTAGTTGTAGATGGCATGATGTAGAATTTGCACCTGTAAGTCCTCCCTTCCATATTGACCATAAATATCCTTCCCATCTCTCTCTCTCTCTCTCTGACCACAACTACTTGGTGCACAACCTCAAAAACTCTGTTATTCTACCTGAAATTCATTGAAGTTTCAAGCTGAAAATGTGGAATCCGCCGCTCCCCAAAAATCGCATTGTCTGAGGTGTTGGAATGGCCGGTGTTGACTTCCTGGCTGCTGTAGCTTCATTCCCCAACCCGGATGATAAAATTTGGATCACCAGCTTTGAGGTTCAAGGAGGTGGTAACACTGACAATGCTTTGATAAAACCCGGATGATAAAATTCGTCTTGGTCTTAATCCAAGGATCATATCTAAGGTTGCTGATGACTCGCATGGCGAAAGAATACTTGATGAGCTTGAAAGGGATGGTGTTGATACATCTTTTATGGTGGTGTCCAAAGGATGAAACTCACCATTCACATATGTCATTGTTGACAACCAAAAAAACAAAACTCGCACGTGCATTTTCGCTCCAGGATATCCACCCATGATATCTGAGGGTCTACATACCCAAATCAAAATTGTATTCAGCGCTTGGAGTAAATATTGTCTACTTAGATGGAAGGCTGCATGAGACTGCTTTGATTGTAGTGCAGGAGGCAAAGAGTAGGGGCATACCTATTATAGTTGATGCAGAAAGGTTAAGGGAGGGGTTGGGTGATATTCCTGACTTTGCTAGTTATGTTGTATGCTCGACAAAATTTTCACAGGCATGGACTAACACCCTTTCTATTCCAACTGCACTTGTTTCTATTATCTTGAGATTGATGTCAAATGTAAAATTCGTGATTGTTAGTTGGGTGAAAGATGGTTTCTTAATGTTAGAAAGGACCGAAGCGGATAACCTTAGTTTGAAGAAATGGATGTAGCAGTGACCAATGGATGGAGAAATACAAGGATTAGAACATAAAAAGACAGAAAAACTCTTCTAATTCACGGTCAACAAACGGCGTCATTGACGGAGGATCAACACTGTCCAACGATCAATAACAGTGGCTACAAAGTGGCAATTTTTATTATGGAGGATGAAAAGTGTCAATGCCCCAATGAGTCTAGGACAAAAAATGGCATTAACTCTTGTATTCCGTGAGTCACAATAATAATATAACAATAATTAAATATTGTTCAATTCTATATTCTTCTAGGATTTCTATTACCATCATTCATTATTCCCAAATTTACCATAATTAAATAATTTGTATTACAGTATTTTATAATAATATGAGAATATAATTTTAACGCAGAATTATTGTACGAATGGGAAAGTAGAAATCAATATATTTTATTAGGAGAAGAGATTTTTTAGGAATTGGGCTGGAAGTTAAAATTTCAGGATTTTGTTTTTATATATAGTATAGATTATATTACAGTATTTTATAATAATATGAAAATAGAATTTTAACGCAGAATTATTATACGAATGGGAAAGTAGAAATCAATATATTTTATTAGGAGGAGATATTTTTAGGAATTGGGCAGAAAGTTAAAATTTCAGGATTTTGTTTTTATATATAGTATAGATTATATTACAGTATTTTATAATAATATGAGAATAGAATTTTAACGCAGAATTATTGTACGAACGGGAAAGTAGAAATCAATATATTTTATTAGGAGGAGAGATTTTTTAGAAATTGGGCGGGAAGTTAAAATTTCAGGATTTTGTTTTTATATATAGTATAGACTGTATTACAGTATTTTATAATAATATGAGAATAGAATTTTAACGCAGAATTATTGTACGAATGGGAAAGTAGAAATCAATATATTTTTTTAGGAGGAGAGATTTTTTAGGAATTTGGCGAAAAGTTAAAATTTCAGGATTTTGTTTTTATATATAGTATAGACTGTATTACAGTATTTTATAATAATATGAGAATAGAATTTTACTCCCACCGCTCTGTCGGGCCGGGGTGTGGGGGACCCTTGGGGTTGGAGTTCAACCTTTTCGAAGAAGAATGAGAATAGAATTTTAACGCAGAATTATAATACGAATGGGAAAGTAGAAATCAATATATTTTATTAGGAGGAGAGATTTTGTAGGAATTGGGCGGGAAGTTAAAATTTCAGGATTTTGTTTTTATATATAATATAGATTATATTACAGTATTTTATAATAATATGAGAATAGAATTTTAACGCAGAATTATTGTACGATTGGGAAAGTAGAAATCAATATATTTTATTAGGAGGAGAGATTTTTTAGAAATTGGGCGGGAAGTTAAAATTTTAGGATTTTGTTTTTATATATAGTATACATTGTATTACACTATTTTATAATAATATGAAAATAGAATTTTATCGTAGAATTATTGTACGAATGGGAAAGTAGAAATCAATATATTTTATTAGGAGGAAATATTTTTTAGAAATTGGGCGGGAAGTTAAAATTTCAGGATTTTGTTTTTATATATAGTATAGAGTATAGATTGTATTACAGTATTTTATAATAATATGAGAATAGAATTTTAACGCAGAATTATTGTACGAATGGGAAAGTAGAAATCAATATATTTTATTAGGAGGAGAGATTTTTTAGGAATTGGGCGGAAAGTTAAAATTTCAGGATTTTGTTTTTACATATAGTATAGATTGTACTACAGTATTTTATAATAATATGATAATAGAATTTTAACGCAGAATTATTGTACGAATGGGAAAGTAGAAATCAATATATTTTATTAGGAGGAGAGATTTTTTAGAAATTGGGCGGGAAGTTAAAATTTCAGGATTTTGTTTTTATATATAGTATAGACTGTATTACAGTATTTTATAATAATATGAGAATAGAATTTTAACGCAGAATTATTGTACGAATGGGAAAGTAGAAATCAATATATTTTTTTAGGAGGAGAGATTTTTTAGGAATTTGGCGAAAAGTTAAAATTTCAGGATTTTGTTTTTATATATAGTATAGACTGTATTACAGTATTTTATAATAATATGAGAATAGAATTTTACTCCCACCGCTCTGTCGGGCCGGGGTGTGGGGGACCCTTGGGGTTGGAGTTCAACCTTTTCGAAGAAGAATGAGAATAGAATTTTAACGCAGAATTATAATACGAATGGGAAAGTAGAAATCAATATATTTTATTAGGAGGAGAGATTTTGTAGGAATTGGGCGGGAAGTTAAAATTTCAGGATTTTGTTTTTATATATAATATAGATTATATTACAGTATTTTATAATAATATGAGAATAGAATTTTAACGCAGAATTATTGTACGATTGGGAAAGTAGAAATCAATATATTTTATTAGGAGGAGAGATTTTTTAGAAATTGGGCGGGAAGTTAAAATTTTAGGATTTTGTTTTTATATATAGTATACATTGTATTACACTATTTTATAATAATATGAAAATAGAATTTTATCGTAGAATTATTGTACGAATGGGAAAGTAGAAATCAATATATTTTATTAGGAGGAGAGATTTTTTAGAAATTGGGCGGGAAGTTAAAATTTCAAGATTTTTATTTTATATATAGTATAGATTGTATTACAGTATTTTATAATAATATGAGAATAGAATTTTAACGCAGAATTATTGTACGAATAGGAAAGTAGAAATCAATATATTTTATTAGGAGGAGAGATTTTTTAGGAATTGGGCGGGAAGTTAAAATTTCAGGATTTTGTTTTTATATGAAGTATAGATTGTATTACAGTATTTTATAATAATATGAGAATAGAATTTTAACGCAGAATTATTGTACGAATGGGAAAGTAGAAATCAATATATTTTATTAGGAGGAGAGATTTTGTAGGAATTGGGCGGGAAGTTAAAATTTCAGAATTTTGTTTTTATATATACTAGTACTAGTATTTGCACCCGTGCGATGCACGGAATGAATATGTTGTAATATATTAAGAATATATGAATCGATAAATAATTATTTAAATTAGAACATCAAATATTATATAGTGCACTTAAAATGATTTGAATCGTTTATATATTTTGATGTTATCATTGCTTGAATTTGTGCAAATAATTGCTCAAATTAATAGCTAATGTCTAGATGTACGGATGCGGTCCTATAATTTTGAAGATTTTATTTATCATTGTTTAGTATTTTCATACATTAGGTAAATGTGCTTGTTCTCTAACAACTCAGTTATAGAAATGAATTGCTATCCATATTCATTTGTATGGAATATATATATATATATATATATATATATATATATATATATATATATATATATATATATATATATATATATATATATATATATATATATATATATATATATATATATATATATATATATTGTCTAGATATATAGCAATTTTTTCATTTAAAAAAAATTAATATCATCGATTATATTTACACATTATTGAAACCTCTTTGTAGACGACATTGGTAGTGACAACACAATCTTGTTCATCTTCGTCTAGAGCTAACATCTTCTCCATCATGACGGGTTACTTGGGTGAAAATATATAATGGTAGAATATCACTCAATTAGTTATCCTTTTATATTTTCAGTCAATTCGTAATATCAGATTCATTTTCAGCCAATTATTCTTTTTTATTTTCAATCAATTAGAATATCAAATGCAGTGATATTTTTACCTAACTTCCGTTCCATTTTTAATTTACCTTTACTATTGTTTAAAATATGCATTTACTATTGATAATGTAGAATATTATTATTGGAATATTTTCCTCCAATTTTTAATTTTCATTCCATTTTTAATTAAAATGCAATGATCTTACCATTTTTTAGTCAATTATAGATCATTTTTTATTTGCAGTCAATTATTAATATTCATTTCCTTTTATATTTTCAGTCAATTAGTAATATTAGATTCATTTTCAATTAATTATTCTTTTTTATTTCCAATCAATCAGTCAATTAGAATATAGATGCAGTGTTATTTTTACCTAATTTTCGTTCCATTTTAATTTGATGATGTAAAATATTATTAATGAAATATTTTCGTTCCATTTTTAATTTATCATTACTATTTTTTAAAATATGTCTTTACTATTTGATGAT